ACTGTGCTAATTAGCATACAAAATAAAAGCAAACAGGCTTTATGTGATACCCTATCTGCTCAGTAAAATACACAGCCTTTTCAAATATGAACTTAGTGATAGCAAATTTGGTTACTCTGGGCCGCCTCTGATTAATTTGTGAGTCGTAACTGGGTAGTTTCCGATTCTTTGATCCAGACTCCACACTACTGTACTGAACTATGATCTCACTGGGAGATGATGTCTCGTCTTTTCTGTCTCCCTAACCAGATTACAAACTGATTTGAGGAGCCACGTCTCACTCATCTTTGTACCCCAACACTCAGTGCACAACAAGTTCTCAGCAAATGTTTCCTTCCTGCATGACTCATGGAGGACCTCAAGAGTAAAGCTCAGGCCTGACGCAGTAGCCTAGTGGCTGAAGTCCTCGCCTTGCATGAGCCAGGATCCCATATGGGCACTGGTTCTAATTCCAGTGGCCCCACTTCCCATCCAGCTCCCTGAGAGTGACCTGGGAAAAGAGAGGATGGCCCAAAGCTTTGGGACCTTGCACTCATGTGGGAGACCCAGAGGAGGCTCCTGGCTCCTGGCTTCCACTGGCGCAGCTCCAGCCATTGCAGCCACTTGGGAAGTGAATCATCAAACAGAGAATCTCTCTCTCCGTGTTTCCTCCTCTCTGTATATCCAACTTTCTAATAAAAATAAAAGCTTTTAAAAAAAAAGAGTAAAGCTCAACAATACATGATAATTTGTAGCAATATGTACATAACCTTTCACTAGATAACAATGAGCTCTGGGGCAAGCAGCTGCTGGCTGCCCAGCCAGGGCACTACAGGACACAATGCCACATAGTTCATGTGCTCCACAGCTCTACTGCTAACTTGTTTCAGTGAATTCAACCTAACCAGTGTTTACTGGATCTAGCCACTTGAGGAGTACAGTGTAGACAAGAGCTATTTAATGGCAATGCCTCCCACACACCACTCAAATACTTTCACTTCTCTCCATTCTTGTTGCTGTCACTCAAGTTCAGGCCACCATCATCTCTCTATACAAGTGCTCTGCTCCAATCAGTTTCACAACTTTGTGCATTTGAAAGGCAGAGTTACAGAGAAGTGGAAAGGAGAGCAAAGGAGAGATAAGATGAAAGGAATCTTCTGTTTACAGGTTCACTTCCCAAAGGCCACAGTGCCAGGGTTGGGCTGAACCAAAGCCAGGAGACAAGAGCTTCACCAGTGTCTCCCACATAGACAGCAGGGGCCCGACATGCCGGCCCATCTTCTGCTACTTTTCCAGGCTTATTAACAGGGACCTGGATTAGAAGAGCTGCAGCCAGGTCTTGAATTAGTATTCATACAGGACTAGCAGCCCTGAAGGCAACAACTCAATCAGTTACAACATAGTGCCAGCCTCACTACTTGGTTACTCGCTTTTAATTAATTAACTAGTCAATTTTTACTTATATGACACAGGAAAACAGAAATTTCATCTAGGGGTTCACTCCCCCAAATGCCTGCGATGGCCAAGGACTGGATTGGGATCAGAGTTAGGAGCTGGTAACACAATCCAATCTCCTACAGGAGTGACAAGAACCTAAATACTTGAGCCATCACTGAGTCTGCGCTGTTGCAAGCTGGAATCAGGAGCTATGATACGGTGTGTGGGTATCTTAACAACCGGGCTAAAAGCCTGCTTCCTCACTACTTTTCTTTTAAAAAAATTTACTTATTTGAAAGGCAGAACATCAGACAAGAAGAGAGAGAGAGAAGCAGGCAGAGATCTCTTTCACCCACTGGTTTACTTCCCCAGTGGTCACAACAGCTGGGGCTGGGTCAAGCCAAAGCCAGGAATGGGGAACTCCATCTGGGTTTCCCATGTGGGTGCACAGAATCAAGTGCTTGGGTCATCCTCTGCTGCCTCCCAGGCATATCAGCAAGAAACTAGATCAGAAGCAGGGAACCTAGGCACTCACAGAGGAGTTGGGATTGAACTGCCACTCCTAGTGGCAGCTTAACCGACTGTACCGCAATAATCACCCTCAAGTTTTTTTTTTTTTCCACCTTCAGTTTGTTTGGAAAAATGCCATTGGATGGGCCCAGCGGCGTGACCTAGCGGCTTAAGCCTTCGCCTTGATCGCACCCGGATCCCATATGGGCGCTGGTTCTAATCCCGGCAGCTCCGCTTCCCATCCAGCTCTCTGCTTGTGGCCTGGGAAGGCAGTTGAGGACGGCCCAAAGCCTTGGGACCCTGCACCCACGTGGGAGACTAGATCTAGCCTCTAGAAGAGGCTCTTGGTTCCCGGCTTCGGATCGGTGCAGCACCGGCCATTGCGGCTCACTTGGGGAGTGAATCATCCGACGGAAGATGTTTCTCTCTGTCTCTCCTCCTCTCTGTATATCTGACTTTGTAATAAAAATGAATAAATCTTTAAAAAAAAAAAAAAGGAAAATGCCATTGGAACAAACTTAAAAATTTGGTTTAGATTACATTTCTCTCCAAAATCTTTGAAAGCCTTTTCTCTGCCCTTAGGATATGTCTAATCCATTCAGATAACTCTTCCAGCCATCCATCTGGACACTCACTCCCTAACCATCTTTCACAATACTGTTGATATCTAAGGAATTACAGATTGCTGTAAAAGAACACAATATTATCAAAAAATACAGTATTGCAATTAGTATAGTGTTAAAAATGAATGAAATAATTCAGATGTACTTTCTGTGACAAAAGATTTTCAACAATCATGGATGAAATTAACAGCAGACTGGACAGCAATAAAACACACAGAGAAAAAAAATTAACCAAAATTAACAAAACTTCAGCAAAAAATGGAAAAACATGCCATAACTACATATGTAATTACAGAGACCTCAGTGGAAGAAAGGCAGAGAAAAACTGGAAGAAATAATGGCTAAAAAGTATCCAAATTTTTTAATTTTTTTTAAAGATTTATTTTATTTTTATTGGAAAGGCAGATATACTGAGAGGAGAGACAGAGAGGAAGATCTTCTGTCCGATGATTCACTCCCCAAGAGGCCGCAACGGCTGGAGCTGAGCCAATCTGAAGCCAGGAGCCTCCTCTGGGTCTTCCACGCGGGTGCAGGGTCCCAAAGCTTTGGGGCCATCCTCGACTGCTTTCCCAGGCCACAGGCAGAGAGCTGGATGGGAAGCAGGGCTGCCGGGATTAGAACCAGCGCCCATATGGGATCCCGGGCGTGCAAGGCAAGGACCTTAACCACTACACCATCGCGCCAGGCCCAAATGTATCCAAATTTGATTAAACATTATTAGCCCATATATCCCGGAAACAACAAATCAAAAAACAGCAATCATGAAAACACAAACAAGCAAACACAAAAATCCCAAATCCAAACACAGCATAACCAAATTGTTTAAGATCAGTGGTAAAAAGAAATTCTTAAAAGCAGTTGGAGGAAAAAAAAACCTTTCTATGCAGAGAAAACGGAAAAACTGCCAGACTGCAAACCAGAAGACCAGGAACATCAATTTTAGAGTAAAGAAAGGTGAGAAAACAACCAACCCAGAAATCTATAGCCAATAAATGTTTCTTTCCAAAGAAAAACAAAATAAGGACTTTTTTCAATAATACAAAAATGTAAAGAATTCATCACCACAGGTTCACATTAGTAGAAATGTTAAATTTCTTTAAGCAACTGGCAAATGATATTAGATTAAAATGTGATTTTCAAAGGAAAAAGCCAAAAATACTAAGTATGCAACTACATATGTGAGCCTTTCTCCCCTCCCCTCTTTTTAAAATTGCTTTAAGATATTTGGGGGAAAAAAGATATTTGAGGGTTCTGTGTTGTGGCGCCATAGATCAAGCCACTTTGTACAACACTGCCATCCCATATGGATGGTGGTTCAAGTCCTGGCTGCTCCATTTCCCATCAAGCTCCCAGCCAGCATGCCTGGAAAAGCAGTGGAAGATGCCAGAAATGCTCAGACAGCTGCACCCACATGACAGACTGGCTTCATACGGTCCAGCCATGGCCAGTGTTGTCCTTTGAGGTGAAAGTGCTCCCTCTCTGTAACTGTATTTCAAGCAAAAAAAAAACAAAAACCTAAATCTTTAAAAAAAAAAAAAAAACACGTGACTATTTAAAGCAGAACTAGTAACATTCAGATACAAAATTAAAACTCAAAACAGTGTTAGGTGGGAGACCCAGAGTGGATCCTGGCTCCTGGCTTCATTCAGCTCCGTTGCAGCCACTTGGGGAGTGAATCATCAGATGAAGATCTTTGTCTCTCCTCCTCTTTGTATACCTGACTTTCTAATAAAAAAAAAATAAATCTCTCTCTCTCTCTCTCTCTCTCTATATATATATATATAAAGCAGAAGCTGGCAGACTGGATAAAAGCAAAAACAAAACTCACCTAAACACTATCTACAAAATCTGCTCTAAAGACATATATAGGTTAAACTGAAAAGTAGAAAATAAAATTCATCATGCTAACACTTATCAAGACAGCTGACAATGCTATCTAGACTTTTCTGTGACAAACAGAAAAGGAGACAGAAATCTTCCATATGCTGGTCCATTCAGGCCTGAACCCAGAGCCCAAGCACTGGGGCTATCTTCCACTGCTTTCCCAGGTGCACTGGCAGGGAGCTGGATGGCAAGTGGAGCAGCTGAGGCTCAAATCAGGACCCGTAAGGGATGCCAGCCTCACAAGCGGCACTTAAACCACTCCCTATCCCACCACAGTTCTAAACACCTCTACACCCAAAAAGTCTCAGTCCATGGAAACAAAGAAACAGAAAGGCCCCTTGCAGGGTTAAAAATGCAGAATCTGCACTCCTGAACCCATACTGCACATCATCAAAACAGGGAATAGCAATTTCATTCTGTCACAAATAGCATGCAAAGTGTACTCACAAATGTAGAACCCTCCCCGCTCCCCGCAGAAGGGTCAAAGGTAGCAGTATGTTAAACAGCTTATCAAAACATTTATGCCTTCAGTGCCAAAGCTGATTGAAGTGATTAAAGCTGACTCACCTTTCATATTGCCTATCTCGTGGTAATGAAGCACCCCAATGTTGAAAGTCCATGATCAACAGAAGTAGCAGGAGACAGGATACGAAGGAGAATCCTAGCAATGCCACGCGCTGGCGCAGAAAGGGGCTCACTGTGGGCACCGTGAAGTACCAGGAGGCTGGGCAGAGGTAGGAAAAACTGATCCTGCAAGGAGACACATCGGGAAGTCTGAAGACGTCTCTACGGCAGGGCTTCCAGCCAGATGGAAGACCTCCTCACAAAGTCAAAAACTCACGTCAACACAAGTCTAAGTGTACTTTCAGTCTGGAATTTCAGAAAAGGATCTAAACTGCTCATGATGCTTCATCTACTATTGAAATCAGAAAAGCTTAATCTGCCTTTTTTTCCCCCCAAGCTGCACTTTTGAGTGTAATTCAAAGAATTCATCTCATGTTAATGAAAACAACACATCTCCCAAGGCAACCTGGTACCACTGGAGAATGCAGTGGAACTACCATGAAAAATGCTACCAAGAAACAATTATTTCATACGTGTGTGTGTGTGTGTGTGTGTTTTAATCAGCTGAAAGGCTATGTTGTGAAAGCAAAGCTTTTGCCCTGACCCCACTATCTCTCCCAGAGGTGACCACTGGTTTCTATGTATTTTTCCAGGGATATCCTACAGCTGTTCAAACACAAACATAAATGTTTTATATAGTTCTGGATCTCTGTGTGTCTTCATCTGCTTGGTGTTACACCACAGATCAGTGTATCATATCTGTGGTTCTGCTTCCCCTGCCCGTCCACCCAACCTTGGCTACTTGGCAATAGTCCCACGCTGCTACAGGTAAACCCAGGCTAACTTTTTTGAAAAAGCTTCAGAGAATTATAATCTATGAACAGCTGCAGTAACTGTCAAGCTCCCTTTCTACACGGATTTAAAACCACTTCATTACAAAAAGGAGGAAACGAACATAAAACCTTTTTGGTTTAACCTTCTTAAGGAGGAACCTAGCTTCATTCAATTTGAAACAATTTGATGCATTTACAAAACAGGTGCTTGCGCACTCATTCACCCCCACCCCCACCCCGGGGTCTTGGCTCGTCTGTGAATCCACTTGGTATGGATGTAAAGTCCAAGAGCAACCCCAGAACAAATCTCACTTGTCACAGCCTCCGAGGCGCCCCCCACCCCATCTGCCCGCCTGCCACCCTGCACTGTGCCCCCGGCCAGAGACAGTGTGCATGCAACCTTACCTAGCCATGGGTTCCCTTGAGTGGTCTCAATGCGTGTCACCTCCTTTTCCTTTTGCCCTGAGAAGGGGGCTTCGTTGTCCCAGGCATCTCCCAAGCCTGCAGCCTGGGAAGAGTTGGTTGCGCATCAGTCTCACCTCCACCAAAGCCCACGAGACTAGCCCTCCCAGAAAAATCCCACGGCTGCCACGCGCCACTCGGGCTCCCGCTCCGAACCCACTCGCTCTTGCTCCTCGGGCCCAGCGGACAGTACCCGCGCATCCTAAGGGCCCAGCGCTCTCGTGGTCAGCTCTGTCCTCGAGGGACCGGCCGTTCTTCAGGATGGCACGGGGACGAGGGGCAGCAGACCTGCTCCCTCTTCCCGATCCCCCTGGTCCCGCAACTCTCCCGCGACGATACTCACGGGATCCAGCGGCTCGCCGGCTCAGGGTGCTCCGCTCGATTCCAGGCAGAGAATCTCTCCGCCGCCTACAGCCCAGCCGGAAGGAGGGCCCAAGCCGGCGGCGCCGCCACGTCCCCAAGGAAACCGCACCGAGCCAATGACTGACAGGGGATCCGCGAAGGAAGCCCGCCCCCCACGCAGCGGCGCCGCGGGCGAACCAGCTCCGCCGGCAGCACGTCCGTCCGCCACGGTGACCAATCCCCAAGAGCGCTCGGCCTCTAATGCCCGCCCTGGGATTTCGGGCCGCGCCCAATCGGAAAGCCGTCGTGCCGAGGCCCTGCCCTGAGGGGGCCGGCGGTGGCCGTTCGGCTGAGGCTGACCCCGAGGCTCGGCGCCCTCTGCTCTGCGACTGACGAGGACTGAGCGGGCTGCTTTCTCGGCGGCCACTGCGAGAATGTTCGCCACAGACGTGCACTCCTTGTCCTCAACCTCTTGGGGGGGTTCTTGGCCACCAGCCCTCCCCTCAGAATAGCAGTTCTTCTAGCTCAAACTTTCCGCCCCAGCATATCTTGCCCATGAGAGAAAAAAATAAATAAATAAGCCAGAAATCAGGACGCCTACATCAGTCAGCGTCCCACGAATGCCCGTTGGGTGCCACGCGTCAGTGCCGCCGCCCTCCTGGACCTTCAGTCACACGCACAGAGGCTGCGGCTGCTTCACTTTGCTTGCCGACAGCAACCGCTCTAGTTGTTTCCAGGAGGGAGCCCCCTGGACACCGTCAAGTCCAAGTTCTCCAGCGTGGCTCACCCACCTCATCCACGAGCCGCCCCCCGCCCCACCCCCGTCGCCTCTGCCGCTCCTCGCCTCCCTTCGGCGCGCCAGCCACGCACCTCTGCCACCCCGCGTGCCTTCAGGAACCTTCCCACCTCTTGGCCAAACTAACCCTTACCCACCCCTTGACGGTCGTGTTGCTCCAAAAGCCGTACTTAACTCACACTTCCTTTGTACTAAAGTGTGCCTTTGGTTTCGCTCGCTGCCTTGAATCGTAATATTAGTCTGTCCTACTAGGCAAAATATTCTTCATGGCGTTAACACACATTCTGCTTCCACACATTTCAAATGCTGGCAAGTAAAATGCAACTAATAGAAGATGAATACCTGAGTGTGTGGCTGTGAAGGGGAAATGAAGACCACCCCAATGAGAACAGAGTGGTTAATTCATTCAGAGCTGGCTATCAACAAGAGTCGGTCACTATCACTTGCATTGGGCAGAGACCCAAAGGCTCTTGGGAGAGTAGAAAAGTTTGGTTTTGACAATCAGTTTATTCTCAGACTTGAAAGTGTTAACTTGTGGAAGCTGGGGGCCAGTGACCCCGCCAACCAGAAGCAGTTAACTTAGCTACAGGTTTAGTGGAGCAGATGGCTGCCTGCAAGCGTCCTAAGCAGAGGGGAAGAAGAAGGCTGGAGGAAAACAGTCATTGCTCACCATCCTCATGCTGGATGATCAATGCAAAAATTGTGGGTCTGAGTTCTGATTGCCCTAGAAGATCTGGCCGTTGCCGGATATTCAGTTGCTCATGTCTTCTGTTATTTTTCCCCTTTACAGCTCTCCCGACCTGTTTGAGCTTCCTAACTTCCCTTTCTGCTTTAATTCTGAGTTATTAAGGCTAGTTTCCCTCCCCCTCCCATTCCCATTCTATTTAATTCTTAATGTTTTATCTGGGTATCTAGAACCCACATGGAGTAGATTAGTTGCACAGAGTTGGGATTAACCACAAAAATTTTTTTTAAAGATTTATTTTTATTATTTTTTCATTGGAAAGGCGGATATACAGAGAGGAGAGACAGAGAGGAAGATCTTCCGCCCAATGATTCACTCCCCAAGTGAGCGCAACGGGCTGATACTATGTCGGTCCGAAGCCAGGAGCCTCTTCCGGGTCTCCCACGCGGGTGCAGGTTCCCAAAGCTTTGGGCCGTCCTCGACTGCTTTCCCAGGCCACAGGCAGGGAGCTGGAAGGGAAGCGGGGCTGCCGGGATTAGAACCGGCGCCCATATGGGATCCCGGGCGTGCTAGGCGAGGACCCTTAACCACTTGCGCCACGGCGCCGGGCCCTAACCACAAAATTTTAAAACAGATTTTTGGGGACCTGGCACAATGGCTCAGGGGGCTAAATCCTTCGTTTGGAAGTACTGGGATCCCAAATGGGCACCAGTTCATGTCCTGGCTTCTCCACTTCCCATCCAGCTCCCTGCTTGTAGCCTGGGAAAGTAGTAGAAGATGGCCTAAAGCCTTGGGAACCTGCACCTGGGTGGGAAATCTGGAAGAAGCTCCTGGCTCTTGACTTTGGATCAATTCAGATTTGGCCATTGCAGCCACTTCAGAAGTGAACCATCAGAGGGTCCTTCTGTCTCTCCAACTCTGAATAAATCTGATCTGCCTTTCCAATAAAATAAATCTTTAAAAAAAAAAAAAGCATAAGAGATTTAAAAATTGGGGCCCAGAATGGTGGCCTAGTGGCTAAAGTCCTCGCCTTGAAGGCACCAGGATCCCATATGGGCGCTGGCTCTAATCCAAGCAGCTCCACTTTCCATCCACCTCCCTGCTTGTGGCCTGGGAAAGTAGTCCAGGATGGCCCAAATCCTTGGGACCCTGCACCCGCGTGGGAGACCTGGAGGAGGTTCCTGGCTCCTGGCTCCAGATTGGCACAGCACTGGCCGTTGCGCTCACTTGGGGAGTGAACCATCGAATGAAAGATCTTCCTCTCTGTCTCTCCTCCTCTCTGTATATCTGACTTTGCAATAAAAAAAAATAAATTTCAAATGGAGAAATTTAAAAATTATTATTTAAGAGCTCAATTCAAGGGGAGAATCCCAGTCTATACGAAATTGTACCACAAAATTCAAAACAAAAATATAACAATGACAACAAAAAACCTCAATTCAGAACCTAGATGTAAAGAACAAATGTTTTAGGATTTTTTTTTAAATTCTGAAAGTTGCTTTACATGAATTCATATAAGTTTAACTTATATGTGTTTCAAACTGCAGTACACAAAATAGATCCTTTTGAGTAGAAATAGAATTCTTGTTTTATTAACAATGCTAATTCATACAGTTTTTGAATATTAGCTTACAATTCAGTGGTGCATTGAAACAGGCTATAATTTACATTCGGGAGATGTAAATGTGATCTTTGTCACAAAACCAAAATGTAACCTACATTTTAATCCCAACACTTTCTCATTACTTTTCTTTGTAAGACTTTAACAGTCTGGCTTGGACAATACTTCTTGGAATAACTCCATATGCCCACAGGCATTTGTTAAGCATGATTTTTTACAAAACCTGCAGTGTTTATCTGATTAACAGTTCACAGGGCTGAGCTGTGAGGTTTCCAGTCAGCAACCCAAATTCAAAAGGGTTGAGACCATGTCTGCAATTCATTTGATGCAACTCAACATGTTGAAACAAATGATAGAAACCCATATTTCAAAACAGGTTTTAACTGCTCTTCAAAAGCTGTCTGCAACTGCACTTCCAACCTTGATACCTAACCATGATCAAAATCGGCCAAACCAATGCCATTCTAGGTGTCTGTCTGCTTCACTGCATTGCTGCTTTTCCATTCACCTTCCTTCAACTTGTGTTCTACCCTAACCCCTAAGGTCGTTTGCACTTTGCCTCCAAGTTTACTCATCTGTCTTTATGCACCTCTTTGTCCCAAACCAGCTTTATTATCTCTCCACTCATCCACCCTCACCTCCTCCTTCCTTTCCTCCAGCTTTGACAAATACTCTGTGATCCATCCAAGCATAAACTTGACTGGAAGTCCTTCTTGAATGTCCTTATTCTATTTTCCTTCTACATTTCCATCCAGCTTGCCTCTAGGAATTCTAAATTCAAGTGCCTGAACTCCTCACCCAAATATTTTTTACAGTCTTCTAACAAAGGATCCTGCTTTTCAGGCTAAAGCTCCTCCTGGGTGTCCATTCTATTCCCATATTGCTCTGAAATCTAATCATGCCACTTCCTGGTTTAAAATTCCTGCATTGGTTTCATATCGCCATGGGATATAATCCAAATTCCACAGCATGGTGTGGCAGACTTGGCTGACTGCCTACCAAGAAGTCAATACTCTCCCACTCTGTTAACCTGTTGAGTAACCACACTCCTGGATTTGGCTTTGTGTTTGAAGAGTGCAAGCCTTCCAAGCCAAGTTCCAAGGAGTAAATTGTGATTTGTGCAAACCAATGCAGAAGGTCCATACCTTTATCAAACATTAGTGAAAACATGAGCATATTTTACCCAATGATACTGATGAAAAGCCAGTTGTTCATCAAGGAGGAATGGGAGACATTGCTAGGAAAGATAGATTCCTCTTTTAAAAAAAAGAGGTAGATGGGGTTTTTCAAAAGCTTTGTGGAAAATGTAGATTACCTTTTCCTTTCATTTTCCATAAAGTTTCTTAAGTGCCAATACAAGTTTACATAATGAGAAAGGAAAAAAAAGGCCCCCTTTCTTACCTTCAGATTAATGTTAAGAACGTACTATCTTGGACCAGCTGTTGTAGTCCAACCAGGGAAGCCACAGCATGGACACTCATGTCCCTCATTGGAGTGACTGTGACTGAGTCCTATCACTGCTTCTGATCTTGCACCCTGGGAGACAGCATATGACAGCAGTAGGGCAAGAACTTTGGTCCCGGCCATCCATGTGAGAGACCCAGACACAGTTCCTGGCTGCTGACTTCAGCCTGGCCCAGCCTTTGTTGTTGTGGACAAAAAAGCAGAAGATGGCTCAAGTGTTTGGACCCCTGCCAGCCATACACCCACATAGGAGATCCAGGCAAAGCTCCTGGCTTCAGCCTGACCCAGTGATGCTCATTGTAACCAACAAATGGAATGAACCAACAAATGGAAGCTTCTCTGCTTCAAATAAATATATAAAATAAAAGTATAACTAAAAAAACAAAAATAGGGACTAATGGTGTGGCAGACCAGGGTTAAGTCACTAACTACAATGTCAGTATCCCACATGAGTTTTGGCAGCTCCAATTTCAATCCAGCTGCCTGCTAATGTGCCTTGAAAGGAAATAGAAGATGACCTAAGTGGTTGATTCTTTTTTAAAAAGTAAGTAAATAAAATGAAAAAAAAAAGAGGAAT